CAAGCCTCGTTGAGGCAATAATCGATTGGAACTGTTAATGTTCTCAATCTTAATGGGGGAGGGTGTAACGGGATTACACATACCCTGGGTACAGGAGGGGTGTCACACCAGATGGGCATGGTGTGACCACACCCAAACAAGAATACGGTACGGTGCGGTACTAGATAGCCAGTAGTTGTACATGTATTTAGATATACATATTTAGGAAAATCTATACTTTCAAATTAGGCGGGTTAGCCGCAAATAAAAATTAATAAAAATCAATTTTGAATTTAAACCAAAGAGTCTCTTACCCTTAGTTATGGTACTGGCTACACTTGGAGGTAGCGGATTGTGATCCGCTACACTCATACTGGTTCTTGTAAGGAACTAAAGATCAGTGACCCAAATTACGCGTCCTCCAGCGATAAGCTACGGCAGCCCCGCTGTAACTTACGTGCTAACATGTTCAAATTGAAACTATTGAATTCAAGGATTTCGCTGTCAGTCATCTATATTTAAAAGGCTATCTGTCGAATACTATTTTGCTCCCCACACTTATACAGGACTTTCAAATTTTGACTGTATAAACATCAGTTTGTGAGGAGAATGATAAATTGTGTCACTTGAAATTTCGGTCGACGGTGCAATTGGCAAAAAATTTTTTACCGAGTACGATCCGATGCAGATTACTTTCAATAAAATTAATTTCCAGTTTTGAGTTTAACCAGAATTAACGTGAGTTGATTGGTCGTTATCTTGACGTCTGTGTCGTAATCTGTTCCTTGTGAAGTCAATTCTGATACGACGCTCTAAGCGGACGTCTGATGTACTTATGCTGGCTTGTTGGACCTTAAGATGGGTGAGACGGTAGGTTCCTCCCCCTCAAGTTCGCGTACTGAGTAAGTCATAGGCACTCTTGCTCAGCTCAATTACCCAGCGTACAATGCTAATGGATGTTAACACGTTCCCAATTGCTGCTGCTTTAAGCGATGTCGGTACTCCTGAGAAGTGATGACCTGAAATCTATATAAGCATTTGCAGTTAAAGTCTCGCACACCTGTTTCGCTTTTGGTGTCAATGGAAGAATGGCATGCATAGGAATGTAGGAGTTCCGCTCTAGCACAACGAGTGTTAAGACCACAATCATGGCATATGAAAATTTGGGTAAAAGTCGGCATGCCTCTTACGCTTGCAGTAGAGCAAGCTGGGGTCCGTGAGCCAGGTCCAGCTTGTTGGTCACAAGCTGGATATTGTCGTGTGTTCCACTACAAGATGTTACAACAATAACGATTGATGGAAAAGGTCATGGAGTCCGAGTATAGCAGCGGGATGGCTGAGCTCAGGGAGCCCCTTTTTCTTGAGGAACGACTAGGCCGTGAATGGCCGAATGAATACGGTGGTGTTCTGCTCAGGATGGTCGAATTAGCTTCACCTGTTTGCATCGTGGCGAAGTTCGGCGTCTAACCAAGAAATAATCTAATTCCCCAGTCGCGAGAATCACGCCTTTCCTGTGGGCTCATTGATCCATGTATTTAGATGCTGGCATATGCGCTGAGGAGTAGGCACGAGAATTGGTAAGGGTGGACATAGTGTTTAGGTGCAGAAAATATTTCTGAGTTGATTTTACGCGTGGTGTCTTAAAAAGACAAAATGATTTTGAGTCTCAGCGTAATCTCATTGGGGAGGAGAGTAACGGGGTGCTGTAATCGTGTGTACTTACATCATACATATTGTATTAACTCAGTATGGCATAATTTTGAATTCACATTGCAAGTTGGTGTGACTGTAAATATTTGAAGGTACAAGAGTATCGGCAATTATGAAGATGATGTTCACAGGGTTTTCTGACCGCACATCAGACAATAAAGATAGTTTCTATGAGATGTAGTAAAGCAGATTTTTTTTTATTATTTGTTTGAATAAAATTAGTCCTAAATATGGCATTACTACATGTATTTAGGAATAATTTGCTTAGACTATTGCTAAATTTACGCTTCTACTATTATTTAGACGTACAGGCTTCTTCAACATTCTTTAAAACCGGTTTAAGGTCACACCGATTCTTCAGTACTTCTGAAACATTCTTTAAAACCGGGGTTTACTGTCCGTACTTTTCATTCTGAACCCATCTGCGGTTGCCGGTTCCTTAAACCCTTCCCTCCAACCATCTTTCCTAAAAAATTTCTTCGAGATAGTTTTTTCTTTAATCTACTTGCACTTTTAGATCAATGAAACAATTTGTTGACTGCGCAGTAAAATACTCTGTATCAAACGTCTCACAACAATATAAGAGTCTTTTGGAAAAATACGTGAAAAATACATACGCAATTTTGCCTGTACCTTTTGTGCGACAAGCAGATGAAATATCTATGATGTACGAAGATTGGGCTATTATCAGAATTTTATAATCGAATCTGACAGACAATACTATATTGTGAATGCTAATATTTGACTTACCTCCACACGTCATTCATAATTGAAAAGGACCAAGCAATGACCGCTAAGCTCAAGCACTTCTGAAAAATTTGCAGCTCATTTAGTTTGGCGGTATCACTTTTGAGTAATTGTGTTTTTTTCTTTTTCTAGTTGGCACTTAGAAAATCAACTATGGAAAATATGAGTGTCTTACACATAATATGTTCAGTCCTCCTGTTTTGATCAATATTCAATTCTATTGATATACGATGTTTTAAATTATATATCCACTATTTTGCAAAGACTGGTTGGTGTAATTATTAGCAATAATTCAGCAGAATAAATCACTACGCAAGGACCATATATGTCGCAGAAAAAATTATTGCAAGCATCTTGGTCTTTAAAGGTGCCATGAAGGGCGTAGTTGCTACCTGTCTACGTTAAATGTTAGTGTTTGCGGTATGAGCACTTAACTCTTGATTTTCTTTTCAACCAACCTAATACCGGAGCGATAAAGTGTGTCCGTTGTACTTTACACAGCAGCTGCATCAGTGACGGAGCAGCGTTTGTAATCTCTTGTGTCTTATCAATTCGTTTCGCAATTGACTTCAACCAAGAATTCGTCGATCTCGCCAATCAAGAAACATATGACTTACTAATCGCTGGAGAGTATTAGGTGCAATAGATGTATCCATATATATTGACGACAGAGTGACAAACTTGGACAGTATGTTGGGCGGTTTGACTACTGGTTTGTGGGTCAATGGTGGGGTTCGCTATGTCATCCACTGTTATATTGTGCGCAGGGCGATGGTAAGACCACAAACAAATCTCAAACTCATCTACCAGCCACCTTGTAGCGATATACACTTGACAAAATCGTAGGCTCATTGGTGGCTGATGATCATGCATTTGTCGCACTGTCCTCGAGAACGGTGAAGTCCGGTCATGAGCACAGTCGAGCAGCATAAAGACTTTTCAGAAAAACTTTTGTTTCCCGCTTGATTACTGGCTACTGTGGTGCGCATAGCTCATGGCGGCGCTCCACACTGCTTCGGCTGTAGGTGTTTGACGGTCGATGCGGATAACGACAGATCCGATGTTCCCAAGCCTAAGATTGCCACGAGAGCCACTATAAAAGACCAACAGATGCGCCGCTGTGAGATGTGGGTGCTTTGATGCAATTAATTTGTGCGGGCGATCAAAAATATGCTGAAGTTCTTGTTGAAACTGGACATCGGTTTTAGCCTTCACCACAGGCTTTGCTTTACTCCACGCGGATATCAAGGAGCATGAACGCGTCATTTAATTTGAGGCTTGCAAGCTTGAAACGGCAAGCTTTAGGCCATTCTATTTGATAATGATCATCAGATGACGGGAAAATCGACGTCGTCACCAAATATTTTATCACGAATGACAAGATGGCTATCTAACTCTGCCAAGTATGACTCTTGGTTGCGTATAATCTGGGTTAGTATGTAGTGGAGGCGAAGACGCTTTCGTATAAACTCTGGTATTTTACTTTGCTGATGGCGTAAATTAGTGAGACGATATAAACAGCTTAAAAGACGGGCACAACAAGTAAAACGTTCTAGAAAATTTGTGTTACCACTACAGCCCAAGGCCTGCTGTACCCAGCACTGCACACAGCATGGAGTGGTACTCCATAATGCGAACATCGATCACAGAATACCGTACGAGGGACTCGAAACCACTTTAGATGGTCGCTTTGGAAAAAATTAACATACTTCTCAGCGGATGCTCAACATGCATAAATGCACAATCACATATTTCTGCGCGAGAGAAATGTATCAACGGGTTACTCAAACCCCTCGCCGCATACGTCAGCGACATTTGCTATCCTATCATATCCGTCAATGTGTTGGCAGTCCATTAATATGGATTTGTTTTTTTGTCTTCCAAATGTGACATCGGGTGTAACAGGGATACACGTATCCTTCTCTGAACAAAGAGCTACGGTAGCCCCGCTGCAGTTGGTAGCACTAGTGGTCAATCTACGCCTGAGTCGTTACGACTGATCCTCTGTGAGGATGAAGATATTCTACTATTTACACCAGGGCATGCAGGACAGGCTTAAAAAGGCTGATATCCCTGCGTGGCCTTGAGGGCGGGCAACGCCTTGCTTTACAAGGACCTGAGGTGATAAGCACGGGCCTAGAGGCGTTTGTAAACTATAAAAATGCTCTGTTAGAGAACCTACAGTAGAAGCTGTCAGCGTCGACGACTAATGAGTCCTCCGGACCCTCTCCGCTCATGGTTAGCTCTAAGACCTTCGAGGGTAAGGATGGAGAGAAACTCATGCTCTGGGTGAGAAAGGCCAAGATGGCTTTGACGTCCGCTCTGCTCCAGAACTAGAGACAGAGCGTGGCTCTAGCTATCTTCAAGATCGGGGGCCGAGCGCGAGGACGTGCGGTACTTTGGTATAAGCGACGTCCTCATCCTGGAAGGTCAGCTTTTTCGAGTGTTTTCGCCGCCTAACTAGGCATATCGCGTGCGATCACGCTTCCTTGTTGTCCGACAGGGCAAAATGGAATCGGTGGACTTTGTTCAAGAGTCAAGAATACTCATTGTCGGGATGAAAGCTGATCCTCTCCCCGAGGCGGTCACATTAGCCGTCTTTATGGGGGGTCTCCGCGCTGGTGTGGCTAGAATGGAAATCTTCCGTGGTGCGCCCGTCTTTTGTTAAAGAAGCGTTAAATGCGGCATTGAATGCCGACCAAAACTTCAAGTCGGCACGCCTTGGTCAGATTACACACCACAGTAGTTCGTCGAGCGGGCCTAAGCAATGGATTCCAGCTATGCTAAGAAAGAGAAAGGAGGGCTCCGAGCTGCCGGGTGGCATTTAAACACCCGACGGTGTTTTGTCTGTGAGGACACACGTCATCTTCAGACTGGTTGCTTCCTGCGCAAGGCGAGTAAAGGTTCATCATACTGACGTTCCGCATCCAACCAGCCTGGTTTGTCGCGAGGAATCGACAAGGCGCAAGACGCTCTTCTGGGAAAGGACTGAGTTCTTTCAAGCCTCAAAGAGTAAGATGACAGCAACGCCGAGCTCTGAAGTGCTTCATGCTCATAAACGCAGAACATGTATGCAAGCCGGGCTTGCTGATCGTAAAAGTGGCCGTGAAGGGCTTTAGAAACCATGGAAGATCCTTTACGATTTCGAAGCGCCGGGCAATTATGCTCGACGCTCCAAGATAGAAAAAAGTCTGCTGTTTGGTGAGGCTCTGAAAGCGCGATTGAGTGACACCATCACTGTTCGCTTAGCGACGGGGACTTGTGTCACTGTGCCGAGGGTCTCTGTAGACTTTGTTGTCGAGTTTCTTGACTTTAATAGCGTGGAACGCAGCTTTGGCTTTGACCTGGATTTAAGTCATGACCTTGTGATTGGTATGACATGGCTGGAACACAAGAGCCATGGATTGATAGGAGGTCGTCTTCTGGTGGAGCTTTGCCGAGTCATGAACTCACGTCTGCTAGAAAGCAGAGGCACTATTAACGCAAGCACTACGGTCGGGGGCTGGATATCGGAGTATCCGACTTTTCGATCACCGAAGGTGTGTTAGACAAGAGTCTCGAGCATGACTCGCTGGCTGAACGTGGAGTGGCACGTAATCCACTGAGCACTCCCCAAATATTGAAGCAGTTGTTGCATTCAAAAGTGGCATGGTCGGCCAAGGGCCGAATCATCGTCTGCGTGGCACGTAGTCCACTGAGCACTGCTGCTGCTCACGTTTCGAAGCGGTCGCTGCATGCATGGTCGGACGAGGGTTAAAGCATTTTGGGCAAGGCTCTTCCGATAAGCGTGGAGTGGCACGTTATCCACTGGACGAAGACTGTGGAAGTAGCAGCTCATCGTCGGATGTTGTCAATAAGATCAAGGCTCCGATGAAGCGGGGAGTGGGAACACTGGACGACGTTGAGTACGTGTTTCAACTTGTCTCGACGAGACGGAGACCAATTAGATGAAGATATAGAATTTATAAAAAAGAGACTTTAAACCAATTACAAAATAAATTAAAATAAATTACGATTATTTAGCTTAAAGAAATGCATTGTTATTCACAAATATATATTATAATTATCTTTTGATAATATTTTTTTAAAGAAGCATCACATACATCTCGTAATCGAATAATTTCTCCTACTGATGAAGTTGAGGAAACAATTGTTTCACTCGATGTTAAAGATCTTACTAGTATTCCACCAATTGGTGGGTGCAAATTATTTTAATTTAATTTTATTGGTAAAGCCTCTTTAGAGAGGAGACGACGATGTCGTATGTTGTCTGCAAGACACAGGGCGTCGACCCCGACCCAGGGAGTTTACCGTAGACGATAGAGCACAGCTATATATCCTTGTCAACGGTATGACGGGGGATAAAGACGGCGGCGTTCCCTCGAGGCTAACTCTGCGGTGGAAGATTTTTTTTCAGCATGACAAGATGTCTCTAGAAGAGTTTGGCGGTGCCTTAAATGCATGCAATTTAGCCGAGGTGGTTATTATACGACCGAACGAGGAGATTAGCTCGTCGTCGCTTCTGGATGAAGTTGTCCTGGAAGACACCAAGCGGGGTCTGAACGCACGACGTGGATCGTTGATCCTGAAAAATCCCTTGGATCCATACCGCGCCGAAGATCCGCCGTTGGTCGCACATCCGGCCTGAAGTGTGCGTCATGAGATCGACCTGATTCCGGGAACCAAATACTGCGAACATGCCAATGGTCCCTGCCCGAATAGTATTGTGACGTCATTGACGTCTTTTCCCGTGCGTAGCACGAGGCGGGAATGGTGAGTGAATAATTCCCCCATTCGACACCCACGTTTTGTGTTCGGAAGCCGAACGGCAAGTGGCGTATCGTTCACGCTTAAAATAAGGTCAACCCTGTCACCATTCCGGCACAGAGCCGAATTCTAAGAAGGATGCTCTCCAGAACATTATGGTTGGATGTACAAAAGTAGAGTGCACTGGAGTTGGTCAATGGGAATTATCACTTGTTCATAAGAGCGAGTGATATTCCGCTGACAGTAGTGAGCACAACGAGCAGGATGCTCTGAATGTGTCTGGTGTTGCCCCAAGGGCTGTCAAATGCATCAGCAACATTTAACCTTCTTACGACGCAATAGTTCAGCCCCCAACGGGTGTATGCACAAGCATACTTCGACGATATCTTCTTCCATAGTCGTGCGGGGCACGAGAGGAGAGATGAGCAAAACCACATCGTCCAATTGAAAGCGGTGCTCCAGTGCTTGCTCACGACAAATCTTTATGCTAATACAGATAAGTGCATTTATGGCGCGGAAGAAATGTCCTTAGAGTGCTTCATTGGGAAGCGTGGCCTTCGAGTGGAGCCCGCTAAGGTCAAGTCCATTGTGGACTGGCCGGTTCCAAAAAAATGAAAATAGTTGCGCAATTGGTTTGGTCTCGCCAACTACTTGCAAAAGCATAGCGCAAATTATGCGAAGATGGCACGGTCATGTCGAATCTTCTCAAAAGGATATAGAATGGTGTTGAGACACCAAGCATCAGGAGGCTTTGGACGTTGTCAAAGATATCCTCCTTCATGCACCAATACTGGTGTTGCCATACCCCGATCGTCCTTTGAGTGTCGTCTCTGACTCTTCGGACTTTGCAATCCGCTGCAAGCAGACGCTAAGGGGCGGGATCGGGTGCTTGCGTTCGACCCTCGTCAGATTAAGGCTGCAGAGAAAACTATCAAATTTACGACAAGGAAATACTTGCGATGAAGTATGCTTTTGTCAAGTTTAGGGTTCGCCTGCTCGGCTCAAAACCATTCGTGATCTACAAAGTTCATGCATCACTACGCACTGCGACTCAGTCGCTTTACCTCTCGCAGAGGATGGCCAGGTGGATCTTCTTCTTTGCAGAATCTAGCTTCAAGGTGAAGTACAAGCCAGGAAAGCAGAATGCTTCGGCTGATGCGTTGTCACGCAGACCGGATTATGAGCTTGCTCTTGTCAC